AGGGAATGCCATTATTTTATGATACTTGTATTTGGTTTCAAATTAAAGAAATCTTGTGGGGAACATGTGTGTACAAAATGTCATGGCAATCCATCCAATAGTTGTTGAGAAATGGTAGTGCTCCAGGAAATTTCAGAGGATCACTAAAGTCAGTTGGATACATCACATCATCAAGGAACCATGAATGTTTGTACAAAATGTTGTGCCACTGCAGCTGGTGGATATTGGGAAATTTCCCTGGATAGGTGAAAACTTTGACCAAATAACTAATAATAACTAATATTGGTACTAGATAAAAAGTCAGGGGATCATTGAAATCATGGGAGCCCAGACTTTTTCCCTTGGAGGGCCAAAAAAGCAAACACCCATTTAATTGTATAAAGATAAAATAGTGTACTAGGATCCCAAGTTCCCTTAATTGAAATGCCTTTTGTCCGTATGCCACTGTTTCTGCCTCTATTTTTTTTTCTTACTTAGAAACATCTAGCGGGCCAAATCAAACCTGATGGTCAGGGTACTGGACAGCCCTGATCTAAATTAATACAATTTAACCTTTGAGGACCATGACTGTGTGTAGAAAATGTATTGGCAATGCATCCAATTATTGTGATAGCGCCATCACGCAGTCTAGTAAAGTAAAATGACACCATAACAGTCAGTGGATCATCAAAGTCAATATGATTCATCTTCTGGGAACCACGAATGTCTGAATAAAAATGCATGGTAGCACATTCAATAGTTGAGATATTTTAGACTTTGGTCAATGTTGGACTGACAATTACACTCAAGTGGAGGATGGACTGTTGTAACCTGGGGCTGAAGTGCCTCTATAATAAGAGCCAACTCAAGAACATATCACATATCAACCAGCAGTGCTCTCCAGCAGATAGAAAAAAGAAAGGAAGAGGTGATTCTTTTAAAAATACAATGGTTTAATCTGTTTTTGTTGAGAATGGTAAGAAAAATACAAAATAAAGTTTAGGAAGGGACAAACATACAATGAACACATACAATGCTCTTCAACCACTATGATACATGCTGATATAATCATACATTAGGACTAAAAATGATAAAAAACTACAACGAGAAGCAACTTTCTATTCTATGAATTACACCGTTGATGGTGTTGTCATTCTCTTCCAGTTCTGCATTTACTGGATATGCTTGAACATCTAGAAGCGTTGCAGCAACCCGTTTCAACATGAATCTGTTTGCAGGTGATGACACACTACCCAACATGTTGACAGAGGCAACCAGAAACCAAAAAAAAACTATTCCACGCCCGCTTCGTTTCATTTCTGGAGCAATCTCAAACTTACTGGAAAGCTGTGCAGGATATCACCTTAACGGATACAGGCATACAGTACGTGTTCACAAAAGTTCCCCTGTCAGCCGTCCCAGATCTTTGTGAATTCTCCAGGAGTAACGAGTGGAGTCTTCACCTCCTGGCATCGGCCCTTTGACCTCACAGTCTCAGGTACGCCACCTATGGACGACAGGCAAACGTTTAGAAAATGTTAAAATCTGTGTGTTGCTCTACTTGTGACACATGAAAATAAAATAAAAATAGAACAACTTTGCAGTTTATTTTGAAAACTCTGGTTTGTACTGTACAAAAAGGATTTTCGTTCCAAAAGCACAGATGTACTGGATCTGTATGGTCTGCTGATCAGCACAGAAACACATTATCTGCAATTACAGTCTTCAAACAACAAATAAACCACAGGTGGTACAGATTTAATCAACTTCAAAAACACACATGCAGATAAACAAAGCATTGAAAACTAATCAGCTCTGCCATGCCCTCCCTCCCTTTCTCTCCCTCCATCTGCTATTCCTGGGTGTTTGCCTGCTGCAGACAATGGTTGCGCTCCACTGAGGGCTCTATATTGGGATGATGGATGAGGGCATTTGCCTCACTCAAGGCCCCGTCTTCTCCTTCCCCGTGCCAGTGTCTGCTCACCACTCGAGCGCATCAGTGGTAATTCACACAAATGATAACAAACGGCAGCTAGAGGTGAAGTCGGTGGACCCTGAACAAGAAGACAAAGTGTGATGAGGAACCGGAGCAACGAGAATCTAGATGGAGAGAAGCTGGCTTGCGAATGGAGGGTTGCTAGGTTGAAGCTGGGAAAGAGGGTGTTGTGTGACGAGTTGAGCAAGGCACAACACCCACTAACTCCTTCCTTGGAGCTGTACGGTGGCTAACATTAGAGCTGTGGCTGCACTGGGAAGTCCCAAAGTGTGAATGTATGAAACTGCAGTAGATAGATGCTGGACAGTGACGGTGAATTTTGGCATTGAAAACGAGACCAGGAGCTAAAGGAAACATTGAAGTTGTATCGGCACTGAAAAAAGGTCAACAGATAAAGAAAAAAAACAGGTACTAAAACTTATGTTATTCCATTATGATGTTTTTTCTCCACTGATGGTGGTTTTCACCAACATTTCTTTCACATTTTTGGCGTGGAGAGCGGTGAGTGGGCAGGGAGAACATGATTTACATATAATCTGTATGCTAAAGGACAGAACCTGCTGTCCGCTCCGAAGCCTCAGGCATGACCATGCACCCACGGCAATGGCTTTCACAAGTTCAACACGAACGCCCACGCCGCAATTATGTTAAGTCTCTTAAGTTTCTTTATGCCGATGTTTTTTTTCCACATAGAACCGGGCTGGGTTAAAGTGCTAACGCAAGCTAATACGTGAAAAGCTAGCTCACATTAGGCTCTATGTGACAAATTATTACAAATTAATTATTTTTAGGAATCAACCGTTTAGATTATAAGACGCCACTCAAGAAAAGGTTCTCAGGTAGTTTTGTAGTAAAGTGTGACAGCAGGTCTTCCCAGAACACTTGATGATAATATGCTTAAGGGTGTTACACTTTGATGTCACTGAAAGAGCTTAAGCATGCCACAATTTAAAACATCACTGCAAAGCTTAGAGAGTAATACTTCCAGTTGCAACAATAGATAACCTTTGGTTTTATTTCCCATCTCTAGACAGCAGCTATTTAGTTTTTACAGAACAACGGTTCATGTCTGGGTATTAGAAGGTTGAGACAAGGACATGAGGAGAAAAGACATCAGGAAGTCATTCGAGCAAACACAGTCTTTGATGCTCCGTGCCAGGGACTTTTGCCATAAAACTTAAAACTTGGCAAGCAGCATGAAGAATGTTTCTTCACACGAGAAGAGACAGAAAGAGGTGAGGAAAAGCAGAATGTGACAGAAGAATGTTGCAGCTGCTGCTACTACACTAAACGGGAAAGTCCTGCAGTTCAAGCAGATACCAGAGATGGACGAGGATATATTCACTGACATACATAATGGTGCATTTCCATTATCTTCACCTCCTGACCTGAAAGGCTGAACCCTGAAACAGTAAGAATTATAATTTTATTTGAATATGTTCACATCGCGAAGGAAAATAAGAATCATGAATTACCAATTGGTATGTAATGCTGATCTTTAGTAACTTCATCACAATAACGAATAAGCTACCAACTACAATAGGCTGACTGCATAAAACACACCTCCCCCTAGTCAGTTATACAGCCATGGCACCTTTAAGCCATGTTTTGGCAGTGTATGAAAACAATTAAGTGAGGTAGCATAGAAGTCGGAAGTTAGCTAACAGTAATGCATGACTAGTTGAAAACGCTAGCTTAAAGTAATGTAGGGATAGTTTAAAAAGTTAGCTTAAAGTAATACATAAATAGTTTAAAAAGTAAGCTTAACGTAATGGATGAACATTTGAAAAAGTTAGCTTAAAGTAATGCATAAATAGCTGAAAAAGTTAGCTTAAAGTAATGCATGAATAGCTGAAAAAGTTAGCTTACCGTTAGCATGAATAGTTGA